AAGGATATTGTCCCATTAGGTGAAAAGAGTTAGTCAGGACAGGGGGCATAAATCTCATCCCAGAAGACAGTATGCAGTCAGCCTAGGTCAAAGTACGGCTGTGAAAACAACAGATAAAGACATTTCGCAATAATTAATTGTTTCTTTGAAATTATTCACAATATTAAGGAGTAGGTTCTAGTTAAAGTTTCTTCGGATAATTAAATACATGTATATAACAAAAATACAAAGATCACTAAAAGCATTAGGAGAAAAGATTCAAATATAGATGTGAAAGTTAACTAGTCTCAGCCTCCCCTTATTAAAGGAATGTCTAGTGCACACTGTAAGAAACAGATTGCTCACCACTCATTAGCTAAGGAATGCTAGGGATAGATGTAAAACTTTACATATAACTAACTTTATAATAGAATTAATCTTAGCAGTTAGTAAGAACCAACTGTCTTTTGTATCTTTTATAATTAGGACAATGGGAAATATAAGTTGAGAAACAGAATTTGATAGGGATAGTAAATGAATATAATGAATAATAGAATTAATGCAGTCCTTAGAGATAAGTAAGTATGGGACATGTCTGAAGGCACATAGCCAGTAACTTTGAAATATTAATTAATAGGATGCATTGAAAGATCCCAAGACCTGGTGATTACAATCTCTGTTAAACATCATAAGATCATGGGGAACCTAGGGCTGTCTGTAGGAGTGTCCATCATTGAGTAGTTGTTTCACAGGATTGGATGTATAGAATAAGGGGGAGGGCACAGTGACCAGGTTGTATGTGATTATTGTAACACACAATGTATAAAAATATTGTATCCCACTGAGAAAGTCAGAGTCATTAACCTCTCTTCCGATCTGAGCCAAACACTAAGGGGATAACTGCGTCCTCACATCAAGGCCACATCTGGGGGGAGTTTGTGGCCCCCTCCCTGTGTGATCTGGTGACTGCCACATTCCTGAATTCTGCCTGCCTCCTGAGCCTTTGTCCCCAGTCGGGGGGTTTCGCTCCAGCACACTACATTGGGTGAATAATTGGGAAATTATAAGCAGAGATTGTGGGATTATGATATTGTAGCAATAATAGAGACCTGAATCAAGAAAAGGCATAATTGGGTATTATATAGTCCTGGATATGAGGTATTTACAGAAACTTGGGTAACTCAGGGAGAGGAATGGTTGTTGGAAATTCCGGGATTTAGATGCTTTAAAAGAAATAGGGAGAGTGGAGAAAGAGGCGGGGGAGTGGCATTGCTAGTCAGGGCGAGTATAGCAGCTACTGAAAGGCAGTTCGAGAATAATATGTCTACAGAGTCAGTTTGGGTTGAGGTCAGGAACAAGAAAGGAGCAGCCACTTAGTTGGGGGTTTTTTACAGACCCCCTAACAGTTGCAGAGAAGTAGAGGAGCGGATTGGGAAGCAGATACTGGAAAGGTGCAGAAGTCACAGGGTTGTAGTCATGGGTGACTTCAACTTTCCAAATATTGATTGGAAACATTTTAGTTGTAATAGTTTAGATGGAGCGGGTTTTGTCCAGTGCGTTCAGGAAGGATTCCTGACACAGTATGTAGATAGGCCAACACGAGGAGAGGCCACTTTGGATTTGGTGCTTGGCAATGAACCGGGCCAAGTGTTAGACCTGTTGGTAGAAGAGCATTTTGGCGGTAGCGATCATAACTCTGTTACTTTTACAATAGTCAAGGAAAAGGATAGGTACATAAGCAGGGCAAGGTTTATAATTGGGGGAAGGGTAATTACAATTCAGTTAGGCAAGAACTGGGTAACGTAAAATGGGAACAGATGCTGTCAGGGAAGAGCACGACAGAAATGTGGAGATTGTTTAAGGAATGTATACTGCGTGTGCTCGATATGTTTGTCCCTAGCAGGCAGAGAAGATGCGGTCGAGTGAGGGAGCCTTGGTTCTCAAGAGAGGTTGAACGACTGGTTAAGAGGAAGAAGGATGCTTATGTAAGGTTTAGGAAACCAGGAATGGAAAAGGCTCTAAGAGGGATACAAGTTATCCAGGAATGAGCTGAAGAAAGAGCTTAGAAGAGCTATAAGGGGACATGAGAAAACCTTGGCAGATAGGATCAAGGAAAACTCCAAGGCGTTTTACACGTACGTGAGGAATAAGAGAATAACCAGAGAAAGGGTAGGGCCGATCAAGGATTGTAAGGGGAATTTGTGCATGGGGCCTAAAGAGATAGCAGAGATCCTTAATGAATACTTTTCTTCAGTATTCACAACTGAGGGGGACCTAGTTGTAGAGGAGGACAGTGTGAAACTGGCTGGTAGGCTAGAGAAGGTCAATGTTATTACGGAAGATGTTCTAGGAATTTTGAGGAAGTTGAAGATAGATAAGTCCCCCGAGCCTGATGGGATTTATCCAAGGATTCTATGGGAAACGAGAGAAGAGATCGCAGGACCTTTGGGGATGATCTTTTCATCCTCACTGTCCATGGGTATAGTGCCGGAAGATTGGAGAGAGGCAAACGTCATTCCCTTGTTCAAAAAAGGGAATAGGGATAACCCCGGAAATTACAGGCCAGTTAATCTTACGTCAGTGGTGGGCAAACTATTGGAAAGGGCTCTGAGAGATAGGATTTATGATCACTTGGAAAGGCACAGTTTGATTCGTGATAGTCAGCATGGATTTGTGAGGGGTAGATCATGCCTCACGAACCTTATTGAATTCTTTGAAGAGGTGACCAAACACATGGATGAAGATAGAGCAGTGGATGTGGTATACATGGATTTAAGTAAGGCATTTGATAAGGTTCCCCATGGTAGGCTCATGCAGAAGATAAGGAGGCATGGGATAGGGGGAAATGTGGCAGATTGGATTCCGAATTGGCTGTCCCTTAGAAGACAAAGGGTGGTAGTGGACAGAAAATATTCAGCATGGTGCTCAGTTACGAGTGGTGTACCACAAGGATCTGTCCTGGGTCCTCTTCTATTTGTTATTTTTGTAAATGATTTGGATGAAGGAGTGGAAGGGTGGATTAGCAAGTTCGTGGACGATACGAAGGTGGGTCGAGTTGTGGACAGTGCGGAGGGCTGTTCTAGGTTACAAAGGGGCATTGATAGAATGCAGAGCTGGGCTGAGATGTGGCAGATGGAGTTTAACCTAAAAAGTGTGAGGTGATTCATTTTGGAAGGACAAACTTGAAAGCAGAGTACAGGGTTAACGGAAATATTCTTGGCAGTGTGGAGGAGCAGAGGGATCTTGGGGTTCATGTTCACAGTTCCCTGAAAGCTGCCACCCAGGTGGATAGAGTTGTTAAGAAGGCGTATGGTGTGTTAGCTTTCATTAATAGAGGGATTGAGTTCAAGAGCCATGAAGTTATGCTCCAGCTATACAAAAGCCTGGTTCGGCCACATCTGGAGTATTGTGTCCAGTTCTGGTCGCCTCATTACAGGAAAGATGAGGAGGCATTGGAAAAGATGCAGAGGAGATTTACCAGGATGTTGCCTGGAATGGAGGGAAGGTCTTACGAGGAAAGGTTGAGAGAGCTAGGGCTTTTCTCTTTAGAACGACGAAGGATGAGAGGTGACTTGATAGAGGTGTACAAAATGATCAGAGGTATAGATAGAGTGGACAGCCAGAGACGTTTTCCCTCGGGTGGAGGTAGCTATTATGAGGGGGCATCGTTTTAAAGTGAGTGGAGGTAGGTTCTTTACTCAGAGAGTGGTAGGGGCATGGAATGCTTTGCCGGAGAGGGTAGTGGAGTCGGCCTCATTAGGGGCATTTAAGCGGCTATTAGATAGGCATATGGATAATAGTATAAGGTAGGGGTGGAGGTTAGATAGACCTTAGGATTAGGGTAAAAGTTTGGCACAACATTGTGGGCGGAAGGGCCTGTACTGTGCTGTACTGTTCTATGTTCTATGTATGTGTTAAGAAAAGATAGGACAAAAAGAAAACAAAGGAGGAGGGTGGTGATTTTAGTTTAAAGAGAGCCTTGCAAGAATGATGTTTTCATTGATTCAAGGATAGAATTGATTTCACTGAAGCTAACAAATAAGAAAAGTGGAATTACTTGTTCAGAGTAATCTTTAGACCACTGACTAATCTTCTCTTAAGTAAAAAGGAGGAGTAGGGCTGGTTAGGGACTAAGAAGGGGCTTTACTCATGGAGGCAGGAGCATAACTGAGGAGTTAAATGAATAATTTGCATCTGTCTTTACCAAGGAGGCAGATGTTGCCCAAGACGTAGTGACAGAAGAGGAAACCCAGTGATTAGAAAGACTTCAAACTGATGGTGAGGTATTGTAAAGCTGTTGGTGCTTAAAATTGATAAGACCCTGAGACTGGATGAGGAGCATCCAATGATATTGAAGAAAGTGAGCGTGGAAATTGCAGAAATGTTGGAAGTAATATTGCAACTGTCCAGGAGGGGGTGAGGATTGTAAACATTACGTCATTTGTAGACATCTGCCCAACAATTACTGGCCAGTCAGTTTAACTTCGGTGATGAGAAAACTTCTGGAATCAATTATTCAGGATAGAACTAATTGTAATGTGTGAAAATATGGGCTAATTCAGATGGATCAGAAAAGATTTGTTAAGGGGTTTGGGAGTCAGCAATGGTTCTAATTTTCCAAAACTCCCTAGATTTGGGAAACGTTCCACTAGATTAGAAAACAATAAATATAACTCCTTTATTCAAAAAGGGAGGGAGACAGAAAGCAGGATACAGTTGGCTTAACATCTGTAACAGGGAGGATTTTACAAGATATTCTTGCAGATGATGGATCGAAGGGTCTGTTTCTGTGCTGTATATCTCTATGACTCTATGTCTAGCAGGAAATGGAGAAAAATTTGAGGTAATCGGGCAGATTTGACTCAATTTTGTGAAAGGAAAGTCATGTTTAACCAATCATTGAAGTTTTTTGAACAAGTAACACATATTGTGGACTACGTGGGGTTCATAGATACATATGCTAAGTGCTTTCTTGGATTTTGAAGACAATTCATGTTATTTTAAAGTTTCTTCCCTTTCAGGAATGAGTTCTGAAATTGAGGAGCAGGTTTTGCTTGAGGCTGAGGAACAGTTACTTCATCACGCTCGGAATGGCATCTTGGATGAAGTCAAGCTGCTGCTGGAACGCAGGAAGGATGAAAAACTAGCTTTCAATATTAACTGCAAAGGTAGGATCTCCTCTAAACTTCACTTCTTTGTTTTCTCTGTGTTTTTCTTCAAAGTTTCCAATTGCCACTCCCTAGTATTTGAAATTTTAGAATCTTACAGAACAAGTGGAGTTCCTTTAGTCCATCTTGTTTGAGAGTGCTGCCCAATTAATTCCATTCCCCCTGCTCTTTCTCCACAGCTCAGCAAATTCCATCCTTCTCAATCTTTTGAAAATTCCAATGAATCTGCTTCTACCACCCATTCAGGCAGCAAGTTCCAGATCACAACAACTTGCAATATAATTTGTTTAAAGGTTTCTCATCTTCCTTTTCCAGTTCTTTGGCACATGTTTGTCAGTTTGTGTCCAATAGTGACTAAACTTCCTGCCACTAGGAACAGTTCCTCTTTATTTACCCTATCTATACCAATATGAAAATGAATCTACACCAATATGAATGTTGAACACCTCTGTTAAATACCCCTTAACCTTTACTGCACAGATGAAATAAGACAATAAGTCATACCAGTAGAAGTAGGCCATTCAGCCCATCAGATCTGCTCTGCTCTTCAAGGAAATCATGGCCAATCTGATAATCCCCAACTTCACTTTCCTGCCTTTTTCCCATAACCCTTGATTCCCCTCACTGATTAAAAATCTGTCTGTCTATCTCAGCCTTGAATATATTTAATGGCACAGCCTCCATGGCCCTCTGTGGTAAAGAACTCCACAGATTCACTACTTCTCTGAGAGAAGAAATTCCTCCTCATTTCTGTCTTCAATGTACGGTACTTTGCTCTGATAACTGCCAGGCAATGACCATCTTAACCAAAAGAAGATGTAAGCGTTACCGTCACTGAATTGCCCCATGGCCAATGCACCTAACCTGCCTATCTTTGGGCTGTGGGAGGAAACCAGAGCACCCGGAGGAAACCCACGCAGACACGGGGAGAATGTGCAAACTCCACACAGACAGTCGCCCGAGGGTGGCATCGAACCCCGGGTCCCTGGCGCAGTGAGACAGCAGTGCTAACCACTATGCCACCGTGCTGTCCCTTGGGTCAAAGAGTTTTGTGAGTTTAGAAAAGGCCGTGTTGATCTGTTGGTGGTGTTCCTGCACTTTTTCAAGGATTTTCAGGATGATTAGGTCCGTGGCAAAATAAACTAGAATCTGACCGTCCTAATATTCTTTTATCAAGCAGTTGTCTGTGGGTTGAATAATTGTCGAGTTGCTCCTTTTCAGGTCGGAGCAAGTCAAATTTTGGTTGGACCCCTCTACATCTTGCCTGCTATTTTGGGCACAAAGATGTCGTGGAGGAATTATTGAAGGTAAGTTGTGGTTTATAGATATTTAAAATTTTGTATCCTGTGGCATCAAAGATAGTGACAAATGTTTGGTTTGAGTTGATGGTTGTGTGAATCTTTTCCCTGTTGAAATGTATGAGTCAATGTTATGTGTATCTCTGCATTCGAAAATATTATTACCTGACACCTGACTTTGCAGGTGCTTATTCTGTGGAAAGAAGGTACCGATAGAATCATAGGAACCTGGAATATAGAAGCAGGAGGAGGCCATTTGGCCCTTTGAACCTGCTCCACTACTCAATACGATTGTGTCTGATCATCCAATTCAGTCCTGTTCCCACTTCACCCCCCAATACCCTTTGATCCCTTTAGCCCTAAGAACTATATCCAACTCCTTCTTGAAAACATTCAATGTGTTGGCCTCAACCACTTCCTGTGGTAGAGAATTCCAAAGGCTCCCCACTCTCTGGGTGAAGACATTCCTCCTCATCTCAGTCTTAAATGGCCCACCCTCTATCCTTAGACTGTGACCCCCTGGTTCTGGTCATCGGGAACATCCTTCCTGTGTTTACCCTGTCTTGTCCTGTTAGAACTTTGTGGATGTTTGAATGGGAAGCTGGGTAAACACACGAAGGGAAGAGGAACAGATGAAGTCTCATGGGTAGGAGGTTCATGTGGGCTCTAAGTAATGATGTGGACTGCTGGTTTCTGGTCTATATCCCAAATGAGTATCAACTGGCGCTGTTGATGAAGAGTAATGTACCCTAACAAAACAGGCTTCACCTCATTGTTATAGTGACCATGATTTTGGAGTAAAATCATTGGATTATTTATCAGTCATTTTATTGCTGATAGGCTAATGCGGACGTAAACGTGGCCAATGATGTTGGTGACACCCCGCTCCATCGAGCAGCTTTCACAGGACGGAAGGTGAGAACGTTTTGAAGGAGTGCGATCGGGATTTTTTAAACGCTCTCAAAATATCTCTAAATTTGTTCAATACTTGCCAGATTCTATAAGCTATACTTGGCATATTATTTGAATTGAATTGGCTTTATTGTCAGCTGTACCCCAGTGAATACAGTGAAAAGTTTATAATTCACCATCTTGGGTATCAAGTACCTGGGTACAATCCTTAGTTACGGAATAGAGAAATGAAGAAAAACAAAAGTTACGTTACAGCTATACACAGTACAACCATAGGTCAGATAAACGAGAGTTAAAAAGACAAACAACACAGTCTGTCTCCAAAGGCTGTTGGCAGAAGACCAGCACGGGGCAGGGGGGGGCCTCCACATTGTCTGTCTGCTGGTTGCCACCACGCTCTGCTCTGGGCCCCTGGCCACCAGCGTTTCCCCACCCCAGTCACCAATGTTCCCCACCCCCACCCGTCACACTGGCATCCCCCGCTTGGCCCCCGGTCACTGGCGCCACCAACGTCCCCAGCTCCACCCCCCCCAACCCCCAGTCTCACGCCCCTGGTCACCGACGTCCCCCACTCCAGCCGCTGGTTGTCCCCGATTCAGAGGCTGGGGCCGGATGTCCGAGGCATGGTGAAGGGAGGATTTACAATCACATTGGGACCCTCCCAGTCCAGCATGGCCTGTATTTTGAAGCTCTCCCTTCCTATCCTTGGGATCTCCTGTAATCCTGTGAACTCTAGGCACCCCTCTAATTCTGATTTCTTGAGCGGCTCTGGTTTTGAAACCCTGCGATTGCTGGAGAACCTCAGCAGGTCTGGCAGCATCTGGGGTTTATATAACACCAGTGTCTGAAAAAGAGTCGTACCAGATTCGAAAAAAAGAACAAAGCACAGGAGCAGACGCTTCGACCCACCAAGCTTGCAACCAACATGATGCCTTTTGAAACCAAAAAAACCTTTTGCCTCCACGCGGTCCATATCCCTGTACTCCCTGCCTGTTCATATATGTGTCAAGATGCCTTTTAAACATTTCAATTGCATCTGCTTCTACCACCTCCTCTGTCAGTGCATTCCAGGCACTTACCATACTCTGCGTTTAAAGAAAAACTTGCCTGTCACATCTCCTCTAAACTTTCCCTTTTTTACCTTAAACCTAGATCCCCGAGTAATTGACATTTCTAACCTGGTAAAAAGACTCTGACTATCCATTCTATCCATGACTGTCATCATTTAGTAAATTTCAATTAAGTTGCCTTCAGCCTTTGACGTTCAAGTGAAAACAAACCAAGTTTATCCAATCACTCCTTGCAGCTAGTATCCTCTAAACCAGGCAATATCCTGGTAAACCTTTTCTGTACCCTCTCCAGAGTTTCCACATCTTTCTGGTAGTGTGGCGACCAGAAAAAAACACAATATTTCAAATGGAATCAGAGATAGTAGGAACTGCAGATGCTGGAGAATCCGAGACAACAAGGTGCAGGGCTGGATGAACACAGCAGGCCAAGCAGGATAGCTGACGTTTCGGGCCTAGACCCTTCATCAGAAAAGGGGGAGGGGAAGGGGGTTTTGAAATAAATAGGGAGAGAGTGGGAGGCGGATAGAAGAGGGATAGAGGAGAGGATAGGTGGAGAGGAAACAAACAGGTCGAAGAGGCGGGGATGGAGCCAGTAAAGGTGAGTGTAGGTAGGGAGTTAGGAAGGGGATAGGTCAGTCCAGGGAGGACGGACAGGTCAAGGGGGCGGGATGAGGTTGGTCGGTAGGAGATGGAGGTGCGGCTTGAGGTGGGAGGAAGGGATAGGTGGGAGGAAGAACAGGTTAGGGAGGCAGGGACGAGCTGGACTGGTTTTGGGATGCGGTAGGGGGAGGGGAGATTTTGAAACTTGTGAAATCCACATTGATACCATTGGGCTGCAGGGTTCCCAAGCGGAATATGAGTTGCTGTTCCTGCAACCTTCGGGTGGCATCGTTGTGGCACTGCAGGAGGCCCAGGATGGACATGTCGTCTGAGGAATGGGAGGGGGAGTTGAAATGGTTCGCGACTGGGAGGTGCAGTTGTTTATTGCGAACCGAGCGTAGGTGTTCTGCAAAGCGGTCCCCGAGTCTCCGCTTGGTTTCCCCGATGTAGAGGAAGCCACACCGGGTACAGCGGATGCAGTATACCACATTGGCAGATGTGCAGGTGAACATCTGCTTGATGTGGAAAGTCTTCTTGGGGCCTGGGATGGGGGTGAGGGAGGAGGTATGGGGGCAGGTGTAGCACTTCCTGCGGTTGCAGGGAAAAGTGCCGGGTGTGGTGGAGCTGGAGGGGAGTGTGGAGCGGACAAGGGAGTCACGGAGAGAGTTGTCCCTCCGGAAAGCAGATAAGGGTGGGGAGGGAAAGATGTCTTTGGTGGTGGGGTCGGATTGCAGATGGCGGAAGTGTCGGAGGATGATGCGTTGGATCCGGAGGTTGGTGGGGTGGTACGTGAGGACGAGGGGGATTCTTTTTTGGTTCTTATTGCGTGGACGGGGTGTGAGGGATGAGGTGCGGGAGATGTGGGAGACACGGTTGAGGGCGTTCTCGACCACCAAGGAGGGGAAGTTACGGTCCTTGAAAAACGAGGACAACTGAGATGTACGGGAGTGGAATGCCTCATCCTGGGAGCAGATGCGGCGGAGGCGAAGGAATTGGGAATAGGGGATAGCATTTTTGCAGGAAGGTGGGTGGGAGGAGGAGTATTCTAGGTAGCTGTGGGAGTCGGTGGGCTTGAAATGAATATCGGTTTCTAGGTGGTTGCCCGATATGGAGACAGAGAGGTCCAGGAAGGGGAGAGAGGTGTTAGAGATGGTCCAGGTAAACTTAAGGTTGGGGTGGAAGGTGTTAGTGAAGTGTATGAACTGTTCGAGCTCCTCGTGGGAGCACGAGGCGGCGCCGATACAGTCATCAATGTAACGGAGGAAGAGGTGGGGTTTAGGGCCGGTGTAGGTAC